TAAATGATCACAAGCTTAAATGGGCTGCCAAAGAAGTCACTTCACAATCACAATTCTTTCAAAGAAAAGACAAAAGAATTGAGGATCAAAAATTAAACGGATTGAAAAGGAACTTGAGGATATTGATATTAAATACTTCAAAATTCACAAATCGCGGTCTTTTCAATTTCCACTTCCTGCCACTAACAAGCAAAAAATTTAAAACCTATTTTCAGAACGAAAATTGATTTTTCTTGTCACTGAGACCTACCCATTTGCCAATGAAGAAATAAGACATTCCTATCGAAAGACCTAGGATTGCTGCAAACGTCAAAATGCTCAACTCAGTCGTAAGATGTTGTAAGTTACAATTCAGACGAGGCGTTTGCTTTATTTGGGTCAAAATAAATAGTTATATCACTCAGTATCAGCTATATATAGATGATAATCATACCTTCTATTATTGCGTGCACCCTGGCTTGGTAACACTTAGAGTAGACTTGAAGTAAGATACCGAGAAACACCAGCCCGAGAAATACCGCTAGTAGATAAATCAACATCCACAGGGTCATTTTCGAGCCGGATGAAAAAAACCCTTCCATTTCGTCGGACAGGTTTGCACTCTATAAAGATCAATAATTCAAGAAGGGAAATATCATGATTCAGTCATTCTGTACTAGAATTTCTTGAAAAAGTTGAACGTTTCTTTCAAAAGAGATACGGAAAACTGTTGAAGAAAAACACACTCGTTTTTAGAACATAGATGTGATTTAAATGATTTGAATCTGTCTGCGTTTTTCGTTCAGAATTCGTGGAAAATTTTAAGTAAACCAGGAACAGAAGAATATGGAGAAGTTTCATAGTTCAATTAGTCACTGCGTCTTTAAGGCTATGACTTCAACCTGTTGGGAGAAAATAATTCAATAACTTTTCGTAGTATACATAAAAATAGGAGGCACTCGGAAAACTTGATAGCGTTGAGCCACACTAAAAAAAGAAACAAGAATAATCAATGGAGCAACATTGAAGAAGCTTTGTAGTTTGAAAATCTGCAGTACAATTCCCGCGTAAAACATCTGCTTGAATAATCATAGAATAATCGACTGATGATATTTAGTTATTAGAGCAGCGAGGTTTTTAAAAATCGTCACACTTTGTAATACCTGTCGTACTTTGTAAGAACCTTATTGCACTTTGTAACCAACTCTTCGCACTTTGTAACGCCCGTCCTTACAATTAAAGCAGGACACTAGTGATGAAATTGGCGCTATTGAATGGTGTTTATTTTTCTCTTGTTTTCATGCTGCGCGGTATCCATCATACTTAATCACAGTATTTGCATCCGAAATAGATTAAGCCTACACGATGGCAAATTCAAATAAATATGCCAATAGAAATTGGAAAACTGAAATTTAAATCATGTTCACTAGTTGTGAAATCGGTGACATTTATTTTATGACCAGAGGCATATCACCTTGCCTAGCCTAGCAAAAAGCTTTGATCGCTTTTCTTTTCACATGGTACCTCACTGAGCTTTAATAGATTTTACAGTTTTTTAGAGAGACATTTAACCATATTAGTTTAGCCGATGACTTGTACCACACGCTGTCACCGCTCCCTGCCTGACCTGTTTCGTTCACTTAAAACTTTCAAAACAAAACTTAAGAAAAGTATAATCACTTAACAGCTACTTCCATTTATCAAAGAAGCTGGTCATGCTGCATACAGACCTCTGTATCCTCTTGTTTTGTCGTTAGTAGAGGAGGGAATTATTGCAAAACTTTCTCCAATAAGCCTATGTAAAATCTTTTAGACCTCTTTGCCACTCGATGTCTAATGCTTCTCAGTTTTTAAAGAAATACGAGTTACATTTCTTCCTCGAAAACGTACTGCACTTTCCCATAAAAATAAATGAAATTTGTATGGGTGTAATAATGCCACGATTCAAACAGCATCATGGCTATTACGAGCTCGTTCGTCAAGCGAAGAGGGATGCTCTTTAATTTGAAAGATACATGGTAAAAGGAAACATTTATACAAAGTCGAACCTATAACGAGCGCTTACCCACGGGAAATGGTCAGTGCTCAAGACTGGAAATACAGAATAAGGCTTTCACAAAAAATGATTAAAACGTCACCCTATGCTATAAGTATAAAAAATCATCCAAAACTATTACTAACCTTGATTTCGGGAGATAAACATCAATCGAATTTTTCTTGAAAGGTTATAACTAATTCTATTTGAAGTGGTTCCGCTCTAAGTGATGGTTCAATACAGGTGGAGGAGAATACAAACAGGCCGCTGGTACTCAGTAAAGGGTGACCACGAACGCTTACTAGAGGTGAAAACTACGGTTATTAAAGGGAAAAAAAAATTTCGGGACTGACAACAAAACGCTAAATACAGTGTGATCGTTTATTAAAGGTTCCACTGCAATCTAAAAGTAGCTCGCTTCTCGCTTGTGATTTACAAACTTTTATAGTGTTCTCTCAACATCCTCTCTGGGTCATTACACCGGTAAATTGATAGAAAGTAAGGTTCGTTGATTTTAAACAATTAAAAGTATTCGTATGAACACGGCCCTGGGTAGGACATATTTCGCATTAGAGAGGCTTTTAAACGAGAGTTTGACACTAATTACCTTCATTAGGCAGGAAAAACCGAAAGGATCCAACAGAGTCTGGTGTGTAGTTTGTTCAGCTTTTCTTTAGTAACACAATGGAAATGGCCACCAAGTGAGACCAAGGAATTAGTTTTATTTTGAGTTTTTGCTATTATGACCGTTTCAGGCTTTGGATATTGAAAAGAATAGAGCCTTAGTCGCTTACGTTCTCCTTTTTTTTTTATTCTACGAAGCGAGATGAAAGAGTCAATTATTACGCCTAAATATGCTGTGTTTCGTCAGGAGAATTTTGGTGTCATGTACTAGATCCAAAAACACAGGGGTGGATCTGGGAAAGAAGTGCAAAGTGTGTGGGAAGTTCTAACAGAACTGTTATTCTGCAAAAAAAGAAAATTTTTGCAGAATTTTCTGGTGCTGAAGTACAACATGAGACGACCTTGACGAGTTTATGTTAAATGCTGTAAAGATGAAAGTATGGGCCAGCAGTATCGAACATTTGTCCTTCTTTTCGTCACAGCTGATATTCTGCGTGCACCATGTTTGTTTCGCTTCTATGCGTACGGCCCCTGTCACGTCGGAACTTCTCAGCAGCTCACGTTATGGTATTGCCCATAGTCATAAACCTTTTTCTTCCTTGTGCGCTTTTAAAATTTGTACGCCAACAGGGTTTTGGAAGTTGAACGAGGGACTTTTACACCTTTAGTCTTCACTACTACCGGAGGCATGGCGGACGAATGCAAGCGTTTCCACAGTACATTAGCAGAACTCATCTCTATTAAGAAAGGAGAGGGGTACAGCAAAACGATTTCATGGATACGTTCAAAAGTGTCCTTCGCTCTACTAAGGTCTGCCTTACTTTGCCTAAGAGGTTCACGCACCACTAGGCGTGTCCCTCTGAAAATTGAACATTGTGACTTTGAGATCGAAAAAGAACAAGCAGGATTTATAAAATAGTTTTTGTTTTTGTTTTTGTTTTTGTTTTTTTGAGAATATTTTTAGATTTTTAATATATAAGATGGATTTTTTTTTATCTTCAAATAAGATTTTCCATGACATTTCTCTTGAGCTAGGTTGAACTCGGAAGTAGTTAAGGATAGGATTAGGAAGGAACAGATTATAATCGATTGAATGTAATCATTAGAATGAAATAATTATGTGAAATGAGACCTATGACAGATTTTAATTTAGTCAAGTTTATACTATATTGTAGGAAAAGAATTTTAGTGAATTAAAATTTATATTGATAATACTAAGATGATAGTTTACAATGTATGTGCACGCTACAAACCAAACTTTACCGTTTTGGCTCAACCTTTAGTTTTAATTTCTTTTGAATTGTGTCGTGAAAATAGCCGCATCAGTAAAACATACACACATATAATAGCTTCTACCAAAACATTGGAATGGAAAGGTTTATGATACAGACCAGATTATAAGTCTGATAAATAAACGTACTGTACAAAGTAAAATAAAAAACTGTTTCTTGACTATAAAATTTTCTCTGCTCGATGGGTTACAATTATATTACCATCATTTTTGAAGGTATGAGGCTCTGCAGCGCGACATGCAATCCAAGCTCCGCTATTACACAATTATTTAGCTGCAGAGTGGACTGGAAAATATAGTAGTATGTATTGGTTAGAAAAAACCCTTTAAATAATGAAATTTTCAAGTAATTTCAAGTAATCTTAAGGAGACCAACTTATAACAACAAAAATAGTAATTATCTTCATTATCATCATCATTTATGTCACACATTTTCGTATGTCCATATGTCCAAAAGCACTTTACAGAGTGTGCCTAGTAAAACAATATTTTGAAACCCGAGAGACAAGCCTATCACTACCGTAAAAATAAAACAATCTTATTCTAAGTAATGAAATACTATAAACAACTATAAAAGACTGCCACACGCCTGTCGAAAAAGTAGAATTTGATGATTGATAAAAGACATCCGCGATTGCTTAAATTTCGCTGACCTCTGCTCGTTGATTGGCCCAGAAAACTTGAGCCATCCTCTCAACCTATCGGATGCAAGATTACATTTGCAACTTGCTCATTCCCCTTTTTCTTTTCTCGAAGCAGTTTACTTTTTTTTCACTTTAAGCTCTCTTTGGCATATGATAATGTAAACTGTTCTTCTGATTGGTTGCTTTAATAACTTTGGTTTTGTTTTTCAACTCTCAGAAGGTAACTCCTCTATGTACAAATTATCGATCATGAGAGACAACACTTGATTTTGTTTGGTATACAGCCATACGGTAATTTTACAAGATTAAAACTGGCCTTCCTTGGCTCCATCGTCGAGCCAAGTGACCCACTCAGCCGGAACTTATCCCGGTTTCACTTTAGCATAACGAGGAGTATTACTACTCCCCCCCTCCCCCTCCCCCCCGCCTCCGGATGAGTTGCTAGTCCATCGCAAGGTTACTTCCAGCATTCATCAGGCTTCCTTGACAATTCGCTAATACCCCTTTATTTCCCTGGGTGGAGAGAGGCATGGGGAGAGTAAAGTGTCTTGTCCAAGACCCAGTTAAGTCTCGAACCCAGACCTCTCGACCCAGAGTCTAATGCACTGACCATGCATCAGGCCAGAGGAGACAGATTAGGGGACAGAGTTTGGTGGCTGTCAAAATGTGAAAAATGACATAACAATGAATTCTCCCGTGCAGAAGAACTTATAGATACAATGTTATTACTAATAATTTACAAACTCAGCTCATAAGAATGAGCTAAAATAAGATAAAGCTATTTAAACGTTACAATTTCTCGCCTTATTGCAGCAGTGTTTCATGAGGTGCATCACTTTCCTGGATTAAGAGAGCTTTAGCAAAGTCTTTTTTAATCTTCTGCAAGTCGTTGGATAATTCTTTGAGTCTATTTTCAAAACCCTGAAAATTCTCCACCACGAATTTCTTCCTGTTAAAGTGGCCTGGATGATCTTCCTCGCTTCCTCGGTCACACTTGTGCATATCTGAAGAATTAAAGAAATGGATCTGTCAATACCTAATTTAGCAAAAAATAAATTGTATTTGGGAACGGTTAATATCTGTCACACAGTTGGGGCTAGAAGACGGGGAAGGAGTGCCTTCGGAGGATTTGGGTTGTATTACAATTTACCTGATCCTCTATTTAGCTCCGTTGAATTCCAATGATCGCCCTTTAAAGGGACGACTGGTCTTTCTCTCCCTTCCCCCTGAAAAGTACGCATCTCCCCCCCCCCGCCGCAAAATCCTCTGTCCTGCCCCCTAAAAAATGACAACCTTTGATGTTGGTAGAACAAGGACAAATTGAATCCAAATATTTCCACACAGGTTAAACTTACCTTTCCTCTTTAGAATCGCGGGATTACAGGAATTCAAGCCCTCCCAAAACACCCCAATGATGACAAGTCCGAGGAATATCCCAAGAAGACTAAATAAGATAAACCGGGTTATTTCTGAGCCACTTGAGAATAAACCATCCATTTGATCAAATAAGGCAGCCGTCTAAAAAGAAAAAAAAAACATTAAAGAGGGATAGATTCAACCACTTAGAATTATTTAAAGAGCAAGGGTAATCTTTGTTTTCCCACAGGTATCTTATCTTTCTCATTTTCCTAGTTCTGGATTAAACAAATTTTCATGAATTCATCATCAGAGGGCTAGAGATACCTAAAACCGACCTTCTAATATTTTTCCGGCCAGTTAAAGCCGTAAGGCGACAAAAAACAACCTTTGTGCGGTCGTGCATCATAAACCCGACGTGAGTATCAACAATTACTCTTGATCACTTTAGTTGAAAAGTGTTGTAGAAGACTACCTGCAGTTCTGCCGGTATCAGGTCACCTGATGCCTTTAGACTTTCTCCGCGCAATGTTGTGGAAAACTTCTTTAATGCTGGTCCACATTCCACCACTTTTTTTCTTTTGACAATTTCTGGATCGGTGTCGTTTGTAACGTTCACTGGTCCTGTATATACGTGCACCAAGTAATAATCCATCGGATAATCGATATTGCGAATCATTCGGATCTGCCTGTTCATTTTCAGTCCGGATTTATCTAGGAAGTAAAATGCAGTGTTTCGATCGACAAGGACTCTTCCGATGGTTCCTTCGCTGAGTTTTTCTTGCATCTCTTGCAGGCTTCTAAACTCTGTAATATCAGATATTTGTGGATCAGTCTAGTCACAACGGAGGTCACGTAAATAAGGTTAAATATTTTTACAAAAATGCATTCATGGAAAACGAACCATTGAGGCTTTTTTCAGTTGGTAGTTTGTTAGAAGGGGTGTCACTGTACTGTATTTTTTGTAAGGTGTGTCTTCGTGATATGGGAATACTTTCACGCCTGAGCGAAGTCAACCCCCTCCCCCTTCTCGTGGCTCTGTGATCGTGTACGTTTGTAGTAGAATGGGAAGTCATACTGGCGTGTGCTCCCAGTACGAATTGATGTTACCGAATCAGTTAAATGCAGAACTATCCCCGAGTCCTCCAGTGGGACTGGAATCAGGAGCACATCCCTAATTTTCGTTAATCCAGTATGACATCGTCACGTCAATTGGACGAATGAAGAAAGATGGATTTGAAAACTTTATTTGTAAACGGAATGTTGGCAATAGATATAACCTCAGCGAAAATCGTTACTTACCAATTATCTTTGCGTCGTACTGCTTTGCCACAATTTTCGTATCAGTATTTTTGATGAACACGCCAACCTAAGGTAAATCCCACTACATTAGAACAGCTTTTATCTTCTCTTGCGCATGTATTGGGTGTGGTCATCCATTATTCGTAACCTTTCGCCCCTCCAGCGCACGCGACTACATCTTTTAGGCCTTTCACTGTGGCAAGGACGCACTTTGTAAGTCCTGAATCTGATTACTTAGATGGCAATAGCCAATAATTGATAGGTCTCAAGGAATGATGCTTATATAATGTGGTAAATCAACAATTAAAATCGCCCATAGAAAAACTTAATAGGGCCTGGTAGAGACTTGTACATTTGTCGACAGATAAATGCCCAATAAAACCTACAAAATTTGTTTTTCTTGTCAAGTACAAATTATCTGTCATCTTGGAATCTCCACATATTTTTAGGGACACTTACAATTTGCTGGCAATTAGTAAGTATTCAGTTAATAAGATTCTAGAAAGGTTGTGGAGTGATTCTGTCAGTGAAGAGGGCATTACTGGTGATAGATTCTACGAAGAAAGTTATGGAGGCTATCGGAACGAGTCTGACAGCTCAGACCATGATGCTACACACTCAGGGGTGGCCGCAGCAAGATGTTTCGTATTTCTTTCTTTTTGTTTTGTCTTGTTTTTTATATCTGAGTTTGTGTATAGACTGCAAGTAGTCTCCACTTTTCGGAGAGGTCCGTCGCACGAGTCAAAAAATATCAGTGAACAAAAGAACACAAATGGACGATAATGTGGCGCGCGGAGATGTACAGATGAGGCACGCCGCGGCGCGCCAATATCAATTTTTTCCACGGTTACTTTTGTGCTTGTTGTTTTTGTGTTTTTGATTGGTGCGACGGACTTCACCAAAAAGAAGGGACCACTCTTATCCTTGTCCGTGTAAGGTTAACATCAACCCTAAAGGCCATGATTTACCAGATTTTATAATAAAGTTCGGATATAACGCGTACTGTCATTGGTTGAAAGAGCGTGCTCTATGAGAGTATAGAGCATAGAGCTGAGCTAAAGCTGTCACGCCATCTGCCAAACTGTACTATGTTCGACCTTTTCCGGGACTTCTTTTTAGCTTTCTTTCCGATAACTGAAAGTGAAATTTCGGAACTGAAGCGAGCCGGCAAGTAGCAACAGAAGAATCAAACAAAGGTTTGTAAACATACCAGGCGCCGTAATTTACGTGATTAAAACGTGAGCAGATACGAAAATCCAAAAGGAAAAACAAAATAGACATTCCGAGTTTTAAAGATTTTCACGCTCAGTTAGATTGCAAGCTTACGTACGGTAATAAAAATTAAACACAGCTAACACTCGAATAGTATATAAAGTTCAGTGTTCAAAAACAAAACAGAACAAAACAGAAATGATGAAAAATATAACCAAACTGGCATAACTGTTAAAATTCATACTAATCATGACGGTGTCTGAGCGAATATGATCATGCTGAAGTTCATGGCGGCTCGCTCATCATGGCGATCTCCGGTCATCACGGTAAAGCAAGCCTCAGAAACTACATCGGCCGGCCTTCGAGTGAAAAAATAAGAGCTTGCTCTGATATCCTTTCCGATGCGTTGAGTGGAAAGTCACATCAGTCACTGCAACCGAGTTTTGCGGCGCTGCCATCCCGAGCGATCTTCATGTTCCGGTGAATTCGGCTGTCGTTCATTCAAAAAACACTCGCCTTGAACAGTTTGTTTTCTACCTTGTCATGTGAAAAAACTCGCGTGTTTTTATGAGCCATAATTCGGCTGAAGTTCACTGAACATTTCACTTCAAGATTCTGTATTACAGACTTGAAAACTTCAAGCAAAAGTGTTAAATTCGACTTGCCGAACTATTTTAGTTTGTAAACTATCGTAGAATGTGAACTTTGATGGTTTGACTCTTTTGACAGCTTTAGTCTTGTACAGCCAATCAGAGTATTTGAACCATTCTAACAGGGATTCTGATTGGCTTATTGTAGCGTGCTTTATGAGAGTATAGAGCATGCTGACGACACTGTTGTTCGCTTTGGAAATAAAGTTTGTTTTGAAAATTGAAAGTAATGCTTGGGTAATTTAACGGATTCTTTATTATAAAACAAATAGAGAAGCCTTGACTGTGCTCTGTTCTGTTATAAAGCACGCAGGAAGCGGCTAGAGCACGAAAGAAGTGTAGGGAGAAACACGAGACGTAGTCGAGTGTTTCTTCCCACTTCTTTCGTGCTCTAGCCGCTTCCTGCGTGCTTTATAACAGAACAGAGCACAGTCAAGGCTTCTCTATTTGTTAAATCATCAATCCATAGAAATATCAAAATGAGTTGATAAGCCAGGTTTATGGAAATAACACAGACAACGCTGTCAACTTCGTATTTTTTACTTTTGACAACTCTCACCTCTTTACCGCTGATATCTTTGCATTTTGAGCCATCCAGAGCAGTGTTCATAGCATTTGTGACCATGGCAGTGAACAGCGATAACAATATCGCTCCAACAAGGATCCAAATTATGCTAAATAACCGTCCAGGAATCGACCCTGGTATTTTGTCACCATACCTGAAAAAGGGGGACAAAAATTAGTGCACAGGGGTGTATACAGAATGAGGATCCAGGGATCTGGACCTGGATATTTTTATAATCAGAATTCCTACAACGTCAGGATCGCAAATTACCATGAACTTTTGGTAACTGAAATTTACTTAGCTTGAAATATCTTTAAGCTTGTATTTATTAGGTTTTAATATAAAAAGAGAATTTAATTTGTGCTTTGTGAATCAAAGTTTGGGATCCCCTGTCATAAAACCCTTGATCCAGCTTTGGTGTGAGTACAAGCGTAACCCTACCTGACAGTCTTTACATTCATGACAGAATTAAGTGTAAAACTTGGTAAAAATTATATTTTAACCAGAAAAAATACGATCATCATTGACCTGGTGGAGCTTCGGGTGAAACAAATCAACGTGAATAGCCATTCCTGAGAATTTCAGCCCTCGCTTTTGAACCTGTGCAATCTTGTAGCTTAGGACTTAAGAGAGTAAAGATATGTGATTCAAAACGCAAGCATACACTTCCAATGAATTAGATGGCTTGCGGCATCTTTTTATCAAGTTAAGCCGTACGTGAGATTCATGGGAATTAATCATAACTAATAAGGCCGTCAAGGTTTATCTCTGAAGGGAGGGGGTAGGGTTTGGAGAATTTTGGTTATGTCACGGTAGAATTTACCTGGTCCCCTCATAAGGCTCTATAATAATTATAACTCCTTTTCCCCCGCCCCACCTCCCCCTTCCCATTAACAGTTAAGCGACATTCAATTCTCTCTCTAGTCCTCCATTTATACTCGGTTAGCGACGACTGATATCCACCCCATTCCCTATGGAAACCACGTGACCCTCCTCCAACAAGAACAAAAAAAAAAAAAAAAACGGAACCCACCCCTCCCTCTGGCGATAAATATTGACTGGTCGCCAAGAAGAAAAAACACAAGGCAAATGTGGCGTCTGTATTTTTGCTCACAAACCCACAAAGCTTTTTTTTTCACACAAAAGAAAATTACGATAACTTACCCTACTGTTGTAAGTGATACCACTGCCCACCAGAACCCCTGAGGCGATCCAATTGTAAACGATGGTGAAAAGTACGTTTCATTTGCTCTATGTTCCTAAGGGATTCAAAACAAAAGCACGTTATTAAAATGAATATTACACGTCCGTCCACAAGCCAAATTACTTAAATTACAACGACCTACCTCGAAGTCTTGAAATAACATTACCTCCATTTTTATGTGTATGGGGCTTCGTTGCACGCGCGCTACGAGCTCGCTCATAGCGTTTCGATATCTCAGGAGCACAATTATCTTTCACCTGATTAAAATCTTTCGCGATAATCTTCGATTTCAGATAATTCAAGCTAATTTTGAGAGTTTTTCTATAATTTTAAGCACTATGAGTGTTAATGAATAAAGATGACCAAATATGAGATTAGGGTTAGGGATGATTCATCATTTACATCTCTTATGCTCTGGAGTGATTGAATTTATCGACTCGACTTTTCCTTAAAAAAATTAATTGCGTATTCAATAGTTGTCAGCATTTTAAAATGTTTATACATTATTAATACGTTTTCTAAGCCACTGATACTCACAAAAAGCCAAATGATAACCCCAGATATTCCTGACAAAAGTATGATACAAGCCAATATCGGCCACTGTGACATGATGGAAGTCATCAACTGTTTCCGAGAATCCTGCTCGCATAACTTTGTATTCACTATCAATGAACACCCGGATGAGACAAATGCCCGGATGAGCGTGACATTCGTTTCAGTCGTCAGCTTAGCTTTCATGTCGGACTGAATAGGAAAAGCAAAATCCACCTCCTTTTCTTTAATCAGTTTGATCATCTCGTCGTAGTTACCTACAGATATTGGATACTGGAAGCATCTCAGATGAGATTCCGTGTACCTTTCTTCGTCAAAACAAGCGTGATTTACAGCGTACTTAAGCGTATCGTACAGAATCCCTCTGTTTGACTTGTTATTAGCTGTGTTCATTATATATGGAGGCACGTCCAAAAGAGCCATTTTGTATCGGCATTTGGTGTCGTTAGAATGCACCTGACGGAGTTCACGCGTTTGTCGCTCTTGCCTGATCTCACGGGCCCGACGGACTAATTTTGATTTATGACTTGAATAACTAATAGCGGGCAAGGTAACGAAGCAAACCAGAACTAAGATGAATCCAATCGTGACTCTAAACATATTGAATTCTGCGGACGAAGAAATTTATAGTCAAAGTTTAACTTGTCCCCAAGCCTAAGACCAAGAAGGAAAGAAACAGCTTACTACGTAATTCATAAATTAGTCTATTACAAAGTTTTCTTTTCAATTGAAATATTTATAATCTATTAGATTCGTACCGGTCGAAAAATTATTCAGAGTTCCATCTTTTAGTGAAAAATTGCAGTTCAGAAATTGCTTCAACGTTTCCTGAGAATGGCAAATCGGAAATGACTTTTTTTTTCACCGTCGAATTTTTTACTACTGTTTTGAAGCGAATGAAAGAAGTGAAGTCAGCAAGCTATTAAGGGGTCAGACATGTCCAGGGGAAATTTTAAATGGCGGGTGTTATATCAAAGAGAGAAAACAATGTCTCAAAAATCCATTGCCAAGAATCTCAAGACAAAGTGCAAACCGCCGTACCCGAACGGTCGAACCTCGTGAAAAAATAATGAGCCGCAAAAAAAATACCCATATGAATGTAATGTTCATGTTAATAAAGATGAAACGAATGCAAATCGGGGATAGCAGCTTACTATGCTAGGAGGCAGGTGCAAATCCAACTCTACAGTGTGTACTAAAAATTACCACAACAATACCATCTTCAACGGGAGGGTTGAATCGAAGCGAAACATTCACACCAGGACTTAACTGGTAGGGATGTCGCTATTTCTACGTAAAGCACGAGAGATGAGCAAATAAAATGGACAAAGCTCAATAAATTTGGAAACAGTTTTTCAAAAAACTTGATGTGGATTGTTTTCTACAAACAATAAAGAAATTGTATGAATAAATTGCCATGATGACGATGCAATATTTCGAGGAAACACGTACCTTTTTGAAAAGGAAAAAAGACCTAAACATTGTTGCATGCTGCATGCAAATCGAACAACTCAAGAACGAATGTGGAAATTCTGTCCGTGGTCTTGTATTCCAAGGTATTCAGTCAGTGTTAGAGTAAAATACAACTTAAAATTGCTGGAAAAAATTTCAGGTTTTAAATAATGCAACGTTATACTCACCTCCAATTCCTGCTTTCGGCATAAATCATGCGACAAGAGATCTTGAAGGTGAGAAAACTTCGCATTGGAAGCAGAAAACAGGAGAGTCGAATCCAAGTTAATAAGAACCTTCACTATCAAATTAAGACAATAAAGACTGTGAATGAAGATTGTATCTTAAAGAGTTAGGAACATGATCCATTAGAGCATATATTATAGCGCTGATGGCGGTAAGTCAGCTGGTATTTTTATGGAAATGATTCTGACTACAATTTGCTGCCACCTCTTATCGTCGCTTGGGTAAAAAATAAAAAAGAAAGAAAACAATTTACAGTCCCGCTGAGAATACAAACAATGACTATCGCTTATGAGATAACGAACAGCCAAAACGGACGAAAAATAAGGTAATAAATTATTTGTATTCCTAGTAGAAATGAAAATTGCTTACTAAGAGTGTTGCGAAAGAAAAATGTGATGCTTTTTTTAACCAGTGACAAACACCAGAAATTTGCATAAAGGAATCAAAAAAGGAAAAATGTTTATGCTGTCTTGAAGTGTCGGTGAACCGCTTTGAAAGTAATCATTTTCAAAATATTCGTAGCGAGATTTCAGGCAAATGCATATATTTGTACTTTTCTTCAGGTACATTTTTGGTAATCCTCTGAGGATTTCACAGGGAAGAAATCAATACAAATCTTGCACTATATTCGTTCTTTAAAGAGATAAGTTGTGTCATTTTTTATGAACAACTCAGACTATTATCTCGGCAAAATAGCGACTCGACTCGGGATCGAAAGCAGGAAGGCTCCAGATTCCACCTACCTTGACTTACTGCAGTTGTAAAAGAGTTATATATTTGTTGAAGTACAGGTTGTGTGAAATATCAAACGCAGTGAAATTTAATCTCCCTTTTAACAAAAGACAAGAATCGCTGAACAATTGTAAGTCAACAAGAGTCCTCACAGCTCACGGGGTGCAGCTGCCGATTACGAAATGTGGACATCATTCATTGGTCCATTGTTTCAGATATTTTTGGTTAACCACAAAAATGATTTTGACTCTCGAATTAGAATTGTCCATCTATTTATTTATTATTCTTAAGGCCCTATCCACTCATCTTAACTCTTGTAGGATTCCCCTTTTAACTTTTCTTTTGGGTCAGGGCTAGCAACTCGTAACTTCCACTAAAATCATACAAACGAATACTCAGCTTACTATCAACAAAATCTGGTCAAAACTACGTTTTTTCGCTCTTTAGTCAAAGAAAGCAGTCGAGTCTAGTTTTAAGGGACATGAAAATTACAAAATCTTGAAATAAAAGGGAGATATGGCTGAGAGAATGTCTTAACCCTTTACTCCCATGGGTGACCAAGACATAAATTCTCCTTACATCATCAATACAATATCATGCAGACAAGCGATGAGAATAAAGAAAAATATCAATTAGGGGATCATTAGTCGATCCGATACCAAAGTGCTCCGAACTGATATCACAAGATTTATATGGTAGAGAGTGGGGAGAATTGCTAATTAGATCGAGGGAGTTAAAAGGTAAAGGGAACCTTTACCGAAGAGTGAAACGTGTCATAACCGGAGAGGCCTCAAGCACAGTGTCAACGTTTTCCACGGGGTTTCGTCCGGAATTTTTATTTGCATATTTTGTTTGAATCGCGTCTTGCACAACACAACGGAGGGGAATTTCTGTAACATTTCGCAATATGTTAATAAATCAGATTCCTCATCAAAAAAGGAATCGTCGTGAGAGAGCCCAGGCCGAGAAAACAGAAGGCAAATTTCTTTTTTCCTTACCTTGCTTTACTCACTTTTCTTTATGTTCTTTGAAGATGAACATTAGAACTTCGTTAAACCATCGAAAATTCATTTTCCCCGTCTTGCGAAATTACCTTTCCCGCGAATTTAGGAGTTTTTCGTCTAGAGACATAACAGGGAATCGATGTCGCGTTCCATTGGTCGGCGGTGTGACCGCAATGACAGGCGAAAACTGAGAATTTCTTTAGAGAACGAAAGCTCGAGGTTTGTTTTTACGCAAGTTACCTCTACTTAAACGAATTTACAGGGTATGTAGATTTGTTGGATTTTCATGAAAATTGGCCAGAATCCAGTAACCTTAACAAACATGAAAATTCAAAAACACCAGTTTATTTACAATTACTTGAAATAAGATTCACAGGGGTGAGGGTTGGGGAAGAAGTCTAAATAGTGTCCAAACTAAGCCCGTGAATGACTAAAACTAAAAGACTTTATACAAAATTGTCCCTAATATTCTACAGTTTTACAATATCTTTAATTCTTCATTAAAGATTCCTTACACCACTTATACAATGAAGATTATCCATCCTCTGGTAGGTATATATATTGTCACGTCATCATGAAACTCAAGCTTATGCAAATACAGACACGGAAAACTTTGGGGCTCACAGAAACCCCTGGCAGAGAATTTAAACAGCCTAATTAAATGTCTGCAGAAGTAATTTTGCCAAGCAATTATCATTATCTTACTTTTTGATCGAAACTTTAGGGGTTATGAGTTTCTTTTTTAATTTTTTAGAAGTCTGAGACATCACATTTTGTTTAATTTTTTCAAACAAGGATTAAATAAGACTGAATATCAAAACCTTAAACTAAACCAAACCTTCTTTTCTTGTAACTAATTTTTTGGCCGAGATTTAAGATTCTTCATCATTTTTTTTCTAATTTGTCAGCCCATTCCTGTAGTTGCTTGCCGCGACGCGATTAATTTGTTCATGGTACAAGAGCGAGCCTAAAAAATTCTTATTCAAGGGAACAAATTATCTAGTGTGCGAGTAAGGTCCCTAAAATAATTCGCTGTGGACACTATTTGATCTAACGTCTAAGCTTTTTTTTTTTTTTTTTTTTTTTTCACCTGGAATTATAACTATACCTTAGTCAGTATAGGTCTTGATCACTAAAAGTAAAGATTCCTATGATTACTTTACAAGTCGTAAACATCATTTAGCTTTCACTTGTGGCATATCTGACGTTACAAAAATATGCTTCTATATACAGTCTTGCCTGAATTAAAAAATATATTTATAGATACACGAAAAAATTATCGATTACGGTGCAAGATTCAAGTGCAAAACAGGGATGCATTTCTCAGAGAGACATCACCTGGATTGGAGTTTATTGCCTGTAAATAAACAATGGTATTAGGCTGGCCGTTATTTTCCTATAACCAGAGTTTATTATGCATGCTCTAGGCTTAACTTTTAACCGAGAGTCTTCGGTGACCGCTTGCATCTGCCCTCCATAATCTTAAAAGTTAGTGATTCCAAAAGTCTCCTGAAATGTTATAAAATCTCGTGCTTCCTGCGAAAGAAATCGAGAAAGCGACCAGCCTGAAATTACATTTGCATTCGTCTAACGAAGCGAAAAGAGGTCAAGAAACAATTATTGTTATATTATACCTTATATGATAAGTTCTTCCTTAAATTCCTTCCTTCTTCCTTAATTAAACAAGAAAGGAATTCTTCATTTATACTTCCAATTTGCACCACCCATTCTCAAAAGCCTGCTTTTTTCCAGCACTTGTGAAAATTTAATTCCATAGAGTGTAAACAAACAATCCCAGAAGTTACACACTGAACAACAAATACCGAAGTAATTATTCTTAACCCTCGATTCTGTTCATCCGTCAGGACGGACCAGGTAGAGTCTGTAGTTAACAGTACAAGCTATTTCATCAGTAGACAGCCAAAACTGATTGCAATGGAATGAGAAAAATTTATAAACCTTCTTGATTCACTTGCTACCTTTCTCTGAACTTAACGTATTGGTTTGTTAGCCTAAAAACCGAAAGTAAAGAAATTAAAAAGGGAATAGGAAAAAGGAAGGAAAAGAATTCAATACAATTCGTAATAAACAAGAAGTCAGTTACAGGTCCTTTTCAGTGTGATGCATTCACCTTTTTTTTGCTCAAGCTAAAAATATGCCACTGGTCATGGAAATCTCAGAAGAGTAGAATGCCATCTGAGTCTACTTATGACAAATAATTTTTATGTGTTATAGTATTGTTTCAGTATTTTTACTCTTTCCATTCAGATCAAGCATATTATTAAAAAATGAGCGTTCTTTTGGTCTTGAGTATTCAGGACTGCCCACAGGAGACAAACCGTTCGTGGCACCTTCAAATTCCTCTTTTAACTTTTGTAGATCAGACGTTATGTCTTTTAGACGTTCCTCCAAATCTAAGAAGTTTTGCATCATTGACATCTTCCTGCTGCTAGGAATCAGTCCTAGAAGACGGATCGTAGAGGACATTTAAAGAAATGAACCACTAAATTAATCCCTGAACATATTACTTTTGTTTTTTCGTTTGTCCGTACACACATAGTCGATCTTTGATTAATCGTTTTATTGAATGACTATTTTCTCACTGACAGACAGACTGACGTAATTCCTTATTATTTGACTGACAGACCGATCTTCTAATATGTATTGAACTGTTTCATGTAACGAAGGTGTCCGCATTTCTGATTAAAATCTGAGGGACACGCTGACCAACTAACTAACTGACTGATTGGATGACTGACCGACCGACTGACTGACTGACTGACGGACTGACTGACTGACTGACGGACTGACTGACCTACTGTCTAGACTGACAGACAGGCAGACTGATTGACTGACTAGCTAACTAACTAACTGACAGACTGACTAACTGAAGGACAAGTGACTGTCTCACTGCCTTTGATTGCCAGTTGAATTTAAAAATATAGAATCGCACCAATACTACGATTTATACTAATTAAGATAGAACAGTTTTCTTAGAGCTATCTGTTTTATATTTACTCTGCAAGAACCTAAGGTAATTTAATTTAGAGGCAGTTACCTTTTCTCTTCTTGCGTACCGTTGGCTTACAGTTGGTGTAGACTTCCCATAGTTTGCCGATGACTAATAGGAAGGCAAATATTCCCAATAAGGCAAATAAAATAAATTTGGTCATTTGTGAGCCAGTGGAGAATAACCCTTCCATTTCATCGGACAAATCCGCTGTCTACAAGAAATAAATAATTTTCAAACTGTTGATTGCATCAGAATAAATGTTAGACATAACGAGAAGAATGGCACATGGTGAAATATATAAAATTCACAACAAAACAATTAACTACCTGTAATTCGGCAGGGATAAGTTGCTCTTTGGCAGTGTCTTTTGCAACTGCAACCACATCCGCTGATAACTCTTTCAGGCTTTCCCCGCAAATCGAAAGCTGAGTTTTTCTATCCAATACTTCGTCATCAAAATTGTTCGTGTCATTCGGTGACCCCATTACGTCATGGCTCACGTGAGCCAGGTAATATTCCATTGGATAATCAATGTTACGAATCATTCGGATCTGCCTGTTTCGTTTTAAACCAGATTTATCCAGAAAGTGAAAGGCAGTATTGCGATCCACCATTACTCTTCCAATTGTTCCTCGGCTAAGATTTTTTTGCATTTCGTCCAGGTTTTTGAACTCTGTTAATCAAAAATTTATTTGATTAGTCAGCCAACGCAAGTTCTTACATGAACAAAAGGAGAAAAAGAGGCGGAGAAATTTCTCCTGAGAGTTTTCATACAAAAATATACGAAATATGACTGTTTGGAATTAAAAACTGATTATTTTTAAGGTTATTTCTTTACTTTCGCAATCGTCCCTGAAGAAAAACGGTCATGCAACACATTATACAAGGATATTGAAATAAACCTGAAAAGAATGACTTACGGACAAAGTCTGCATCCAGCTCCTTAGCAACTATATGCGTTTCAGGATTCTTGTTGGACACACCCACCTAACAAGTAAATTGGGGTCAGACAAATTTTTATACGCCAGGTGGGCCCTTATAGATTGCGCTGGCCAAATTTTTTACCTAAATTGTTAAAACAAGCACAATTATTGCTTTTAATTATGAAAGTAGTACTGCAAGCCTAATGAGGATATTTTTTCTTATTTTAAAGGAAACGTTATCAGAGTCTTGACTTGTTTGGTCTCCAAGATCGATTATTTTCAAATTCGGTCCATGGATCATGTCTATTTTCAGGTTTTCAATGTCTTGGAAGAAGAGGGCTATCGCAGTATAGAATCGTTCGTTGTCTAGAGGACTGGGCACACCCGTAGTAAAGATTGCATCGTTTATAATTCCCGCTTTCACAGGCAACAAAATGGCGGCGAAGAGAAACTTACATTTTGACACGACAAGTCACTGCTTCTTGTCTTGAATCCAGTGGTTAATTATATTTTGTCGGAGCAAATATTTATCTCAAAATGAAGAGGATTTCATGCTTAATTGACAACAAATACATAATTTGGACTTCGTTCGTTTCTTTTTTTTTTTTGGTAAAGCACACTTAAAGAAAAAGTAGTATAATTTTCAAAAAACTGATCGAGCAATGCCACTAGCATAACATGCTACTTTTACTGGCACAATCTATTAAGGCTTAGTGGAAAGAATATGAAAAGTCTGTACAACGAAATTAAACTTAAGTTGTAGTTCCGGAAAGACCCACCCTAGATAATAGGAACAGGGAAGGCATTGTTGTTGAAAGGGCCAATGATAGCCGAAGTTGTACAAACCAAAGCAATTTTCCATTTCGACAATCAATTAAAATTGTTTAATGTGAATTTCATTCTTCACCTCTGACTCAGGTAGCTCATGATTCTTAGTTATTCCAGAGATCATAAACACGGCCTCACTCAGTCATTCAGGGCCCAGTTGTTCGAAGTCTGACTAGTGCTAATCCGGGGTAAATTTCATACGTGTTCTTCATACCTTTGTTCAAAAACCTCTTTCGAATAATTTTCTCTATTTTTTTCTTAAGAGCAGCCAATAAGTATAGACAAAAAAGAGTTCTGTTGATTTTCTTTTACAACTTTCAGATCTTAAATAAGATTTCACATTACTCCTGAATTATCTGAACCCTGCTTTTAACAACTCGGCCCTGTGAATCAGGGCACACAGGGCACACAGGGCCGAGTTGCATTTGAGTTGTTCCTGAGTTCGATCGATGAGGGTAGGATTTCATTTATTCGCACTAGACGTTTTTCAGGAAAAAAAACCTTTCGAAGCTTGGGTTAAGATAAACTGAAAAATGTAGAGAATCTAATTTGATCACCAATTAAAGAAGCTCTTGATTGTTAAAAAAACATTTTTTTCCAGCACCTTAAGAAATGTATAGAGAAAAGTATGGAGAAAGAGGCATAATGATGTTTGGGTGCAAAGGGTTTTAGGTGTTCATGTTAGGGTTACTAACCTTTTTGCCACCAATGTCCCTACATCTCGTACCATCCAGGGAAGCTTGCATAGCATTTGTAAATAAGGCGGTGAACAGCGACAACATTATTGCTCCTATCAGGATCCACATTATACCAAATGCACGTCCACAGAGGGTTTTAGGCGTCTTATCACCGTACCTAATGAGAAAAAAGACCCCGATACCACGTAAAAACTAGTTATTTGTTAGACTGGAAGCCAATTGAAGAACGGAACCCTGGTAGAGATTTTGACAAACCCAACGCAAGTATTAACTTTGACAAAAATGGGTTTTACAATATTGCTTATCTTTGATCGTATTCAAAGAACGCAGTGAAAAAAATATCCCACCAATACCCAAATCTAAATCAACTTACCCTACTGTTGTAAGTGATACCACTGCCCACCAAAAGCCTTCTGGTGATCCTATCGTGAACGAGGGTGAAAACTGAGCCGCGTTTGAACGGTGTTCCTGTCATGAAAATCGGTATAACTGTTTAATAAATTATATATAAAAAAAAACCTAACATAAAGGTGCCGTTTAGTGTGGAGTAAATAAATTGATTAGAAAACACTTCTAGCTTACTTAAGGCCTTGCTACAACGCACAAAATTCGCAGCAGTTTTACTGTACCCGAAATTGTGACATCTTGGAATAAAATGTTCTTATTTAATAGTTTGCGTCATTGCAAGGGTCCTTTTTATCTACGAACAAACAAACATTATTTGTACGATTCGAGAATTGTAGGGCATTACAGTTTTCTCTTTATTCACTGTGAGATCCTTTTTTTCAGTCTGGCTTTTTATTTGGGTGAACTGATAAGGTGTGCCTAACTAATCGTTAACTCAAAAATGGTGCCGTCGATTCCTCCTTGTACTATTTTTATGCTAAAGCCGTAACAATTAAGTTTGAATATAACCTTACGTAGAATTAAAACTAAAGAGCTTTAGAAGCTGAGTATAGATTGACGATAAGCCTTAACTCTTACCAAGAGCCAAATGATCACTCCAGATATCCCTGACAGCAATATGATACAAGCCAATATCGGCCATTGAGACGTAATGGAAGTCAATAACTGTTCCCGTGACTCTGCTTCGCACTGCTTTAAGTTCACAATCATTGAACACCCGGATGATACAAATGCCCGGATGAGTGTTACACTGTCTAGACCCGTAAGTTTTTGTTTTGCATCCGATAGAATTGGAAAACCAAAATCAACTGACCCATTTTTAATCAATTTCACCATCTCGTCTTGATTTTGAACAAATACTGGTACCATTTTGCAAGCTATGGGGTCTGTTGCTTCTCTGCCAAAGCAAGCCATGTCCACAAACCATGTTAGGGTTTGATACATAAATCCTTTGTTCATACTTTGGTTCATTATGTAAGGAGGAAAATCCAGCAGGGCAAATTTGAATTTGCATTTCGTTTCTTTATCTTGTTCCTGACGAAGTTGACGCGTTTGGCGAACTTGACGATGTTGCCTAATTTCACGGGCTTTGCGCACTAATTCCGATTGATCGATTGAATCAAGTTGGAGCTTTTGGCTGCTGGCAAGCCATAAATCGCAGCAAACCATTAGACATAGGACCAATCTCAGAGTTGGAACATGCATCGTGAACACCGCCAAGATATGATATGGTTAGAAACCTCCCCTGAGGCTACCAGACTTCAAGTTGCGTTCAGATCTAACAAAAAAAAACAAAACAAAAAAAAAACAAAAAAATCACAGATGCAAAAGTCAGAATAATATGTTATCTGTTTGCTAGCTTGTTGTTTCATACTGCACGGGTGTAATGCAAGACCATATCTCAATGTGTTTTCTATTTCGCTTACATGAGAATATTCACGAAGAGGACATCATGCACTTAAAAAGAATGTAACGAAAATATGATTTTGACCTTCTCAAAGGACTCGAAGAAAGTTTTTTATAGACAAAAAGTTCTGGAGTTCTCACTGAGGTAGCGATCTGCCCTCCTGGCGATAGCCAGCTACCCTCACGAAACGTTTTTATTCTCAATTTCCGAAAAGCGCCCATTACGATGTATCTATTGCCACACAGCGTGCCGTCATCTGAGTTAGTGTGCTTGCAGAATTTACACCAACAAGTGTAAGTGTAAGTGTGGGGTAGTAGAATCAAAGTTACTGATTAAAAGCTGATACTTAAGCCAAAATCAGACATTCTCTTTAGTTAATGAATCAGATAAGGCGGCTTGAAACATATAGACAAATTTTGGTTCGCTCCCATCTAGAAGTTCGGAAGATGGACCCATTATGAATTTTGAACTGCGCCTGGATCAGATAAGGCGGCTTGAAACATATAGACAAATTTTGGTTCGCTCCCATCTAGAAGTTCGAAAGATGGACCCATTATGAATTTTGAACTGCGCTTGGCGGTTGGCAATAACTGTTTTTTGTAAGGGTCTGTGTCATCAAGAGGGCTTTTAGGAAAATACTTTACGTTTTCAATTACAAGTAGATCCTTTTTACCAAACTGAAACGTGGTGAAAAAAAAATTATACTGTGAATCTTTAGACCAACAAAATTTTGTAATTGTTGCAGATGCAGTTTAAGGGCTTGATTATTAAAATTTTGGGCTAGAAAATTATAATTTTTAAAAGAATCCTTCATTAGCTCTTTTCATATGAGATATTTTTGATAAAATATGGTTTTTCTTCGACTCCACTTTTGTGTATTAAAGAACATAACGGCAATTTTGGCATATTAATTTGTGTTCTACAAGATCTGTAAGGGTGGCTATGCCAGGATTATAAATAACTCCCCATTGTGAACAAAAACACCGCGTCAATGTAATTCTTTTTCTAACACTGCAGAATATTTTGAGTCCTGGACTGTGACGCCAGATTGAGCGAATGTTATTATACAGTTATCTGTGGGGGAGAGAGAGGGGGCGGACTCTAAACACAATTGATAAAGTCTGGCGAAGGGCTGCATCGAAATTTGAAAAGACGAACGCGTTTCGGTGTTCGATTAACAAATTGGGAAAGTTGACTTTTAATGAAAGATATTCAAAAGGGAATCAGTAAACATAGTGCAGTATGATTAATAATCATTATGGGAAATATTCAGAGCCAGGCAAATAAATGTGCTTTCAGCTGGCTTTGGCAAAGCCAAGAAATTATTGAACTATCACTACTTCTACTTCTTCTTATGCTTAAATTCTGTTACATAACAGGATCTCATTGGCAATTCAAAATGTCATAAAAATTCTGAATTTGGGACCGGTTTTCATTAATTTTAGGAGAGTACTTAAAAACTCCAAATAACAATATCAACAAAAACATTAGGAATTATTTTGCCAACTTCTGTGGAAAAAAAAAAAAAACTTTCCGTCAAACCTTCATGTAATTACTTCTTTCGTTGGACTCGTCCAGTTTCTAAGAAACGCATACATATATAGAAAAGGTGAACTGTTAGACGGTTCCTGAAAAAAAATCTCGGCGAGGCCTCACTCCAGACTTTGAATACCTGAGTGCTTTTAATTTAAAGGAAATTAAAAGTGGAGGGAAAGCGGCGATGTTTTTGCGTTGCGGTGAAGAGTAATTGAAAACTTGTTAGGAGGTTCTGAAATTACCATATCAATGTTACGCCTTCGTTTCAAATTTGCGGTATTACGCACAAAAAGCCTTTGTGCATAATATTATCGAGGTTAAGGCTTTTATCCAAAGCCGTCAATTGCTTTGAAAACCTCATTATACATTAAGTTATTTACTGCAACACGCGTAAGTGCCATAATGGGGAAAAAACGGCACAATTAGGAAGTCAGAGACATGGGGAATACTATAGATATCTGCTTTTGGGTCAGCTCGTCAAACACATAATTGACAGCCAGCAGGTGAAATTATTTATGTGTGGGTAAAAGCCATTAAGTTTTCCACACATGCAGTAAGATGAAAAATAAAATAAAAAAGAGAAGCTTTAGAACAATGTCATGATAAACAAAGAAAGGCGTAAAGTTAGCGATAATTTGCCGAAAATGAGTTTCCTTCCTGCGATTTTCCATCTCTTTCTTCTTAAACAAAAAAGAAAATTATTGGTGATTTTAAAGACGCGTTTCGTTTCTTCTATCCTCTCAGTAAAATAAAGTTAACATATTCAATATTCGAGGTTTGGGAAAAATAAAAACATGAAAATTTTTGGGGTATTACGATGTTTTTCATTTGTTTATAGACAGGTACATGTGAGCATGAGATTTCAAATGTCGATACCTCTAGAAACTTATGGTCCAAATCGAGTCGAAGACCTATCAGTCTTATCTACCAATCCTATCTAAGATATTTACCTTCAATGCCACCAGTTTGCGTAATTCACGAACTTTAATAACGGTGAAATAACAAGGTGAGGTGTTATGTGGACCAACGATGGACCAGAGTCATCTGGGTTCCCGTGAAATAAAAAACGTCTTCTCGCCCGATGCATGCAATCTGTGTATCGAGGAATTAAGCGATATACGACTCTCGCTAACTCACACCGTTTTGAATTTCGACAGATTCTTACACCGAGTCACCCGCATCACGAGAATTTTCATTACAAATTATTTTATTTTCGAAAAGTTTTCATAAATTCCATTTTCCCGTTTTAATGCAAAAAAGTAATCCTGTCAAATTATATTTAGAAAAGTACGATGTTTTATATGCTTTAAAGCTTGAAGTTAAGTCAATATTTAAACTTTTGGACACTGATGTCAACGATGCAAAAATAGCGTTTTAACTGTCAAATTAATCATTGCTTAAGATGGCTTCCATATTTTTAAAAGAAAGCTGTATATCACATTTTAAATGCACGATTCTACAATAAGAAACATAAGCCTAAACTACTAAAGATATATTGGATGCAGACCTAACGGGTGTAGTAATTGTAAAATGTGCCTGAAAGAAAACAATTTTGACGCTCAAAACAGTTGATAATAATGAACTCGAGTGAATGAAATTTGTAGCCGCAGGTGTCTTACAGAAAGAAAAATATTTTTGGATGCCTTAAAATAAAGAGAGTCCATATGAAGAAGCCAAGTTAAAATCAAAGCCACATGGAATAAAACTGGTTTTAAACACTCAAATGAAATACGTCAGACGTAAAAATTGTTTGAAAAAGGTGTGACTGGTAGTTGTGTCGACGATAATTATTCTTCAAACGATTTCTAATTTTTTGTGACAAGCGAGGCGAAATGTATTATGAAAAAGCTTGAATGCATAAATCCGCCTCTTTCGTAGTTAGCATCATTTTTTTGCTTTGGATTGGTTTCCTTAGTCAGATTTTCTGCATATGCATCTATAGACGTTTGCAGCGAGCTTCATTTCCTTTGCAAATTCCATTTCAGTGCTATTTAAGCATAGGATGTCCACGTGACAAAGAAGTATCTTGGCAAACAACCGATACCAAATTCAACAAAAACGCCATCAGGAATAAAAGTCGATGAACTCGTACCTCTATGGTTTCAGTATAAATTTCATTATTGGCTTTTGGCATTTATAACAAAACCTTTTTGGTGTTTAATGGAAGCAGATAAAAATTAAATGAAGCAATAACCTTAGATGATGAAGATTTTTACAAATAAGACCTTACCTTTATTTAAATATCTCTTAATGTTCTTGCAAGACTGTTATTAAACGGGGCTCGGTTGTATAAAGGGCGGATAACGCTATCCAACGGATAGATCGCTATCTGGCGGATAAGTAATAGCAAAACGTATAGCGTTATCCAATCCGACCTTCGAATAACCGGGGCCATAACTACAAGTATTCCCCAGGTGTGATTATCAAGCTAACGTTCTTTAGATAGAAGTGAGCCCGGTTTTCACAAATAAGAAATGGATTGAGTGCATTTAAAGTTAAGCTCTGACGTGTTTCGAAAAAAGGTAAAGATAATAGACATAAGTGGTCTCTATTGATGACTATTGCGAATAACACATTTCCGCCTCTTCTTGGACCTCTTGTGTTTCAAGCCGAAGACAAAGACAGTATTAATTTAACTGTGAAATTTATTATTTCATTTCAAATCCAGTTGTGAGGGAAAGAAATATTGTTTTGAGGAAATTTCTGCTCCCCCTATCACATTTTCCTTAAAACAACGACATACTCGTATCTTAGATATTTGTATCTAATCTGTCCTGAATCCTTCACTTTAGTAGATTGTGACTGATTATGGTATTAAGTATGGCTTGCTTGAAAACAGACTGTCTTTTCGATGCACGAAAATAGTCAACGCATATGTTGCCAGTTCAGTTGCTCATGTGCGAAAGAGTCAAACAATATTGAGGTTGCGGGAAAAACTTGCATGACATGATGTTTTCAGTTATGCAATAATCATTACTGAAGTGTTGCTTTCCAAATTAGTATTATCTTTGAAATCCTTGCGGTCGAATTAACAGCTACTCAGGTATAAATAACACTATTGCACGAGCTTTGGTGGATTTATAATTTATCACATTTGACTTGATGGAAAGTTCCGGTAGATTTTAAAACTGTGTACTAGGAGACCTGGGAGGTTTGACTTCATGCTGTGCGATTATTTTTCTCAGACTGTCTGTTTTACATTTGCACTTATCGTCGGCAGAAGAAAGGAAAAGTCACGGGTTATTTTCGGTGAGGCATTCTCCTCAAAATTTAAGGAGCCCGTGGTATAGTTTCTAAGAATTAATTGAACTGTTATTTTGACCCACTTGGACGTCAGATCATTATATAAAAGAGCCTTGTTCAGGTTGTATGGAGACTAAGGGATTAAGGTCAACTTTCGCCGCATTTTATTAGATAGGAATAATACCTCGCATTTTAGGCAGATGAAAAGACATCTCTATAACTATTATTCTACAAGAGACAGAGCGGAAAAAAAGGAAGTTCACATATCAACAGCCACGCCAATATTGTTAAGCTTTGACGAAGGATGACGTCAATGTCTACGAAGATTCACTAGCCGGTTGAAAATACATTTCGAATCTGTAACCTACCGCTTTCTTAAAGAGATCATATCATTTTTCTGCTACACTCGAAAGGACCCACTCAATCCTCGATAATTTATAGTTAATGAACTATGAGATCAAAGTCGCAGGTTTTGGGGCGGTTGAGTAGAAAACTTAGTACTAGATTGACAGATAATTGTTCCAAATCATCCACTCTGTAAAAATTGACGGCTTTCTCAAAGTCGATGAGTACAATTGACAAGCATTTCATATCTGGCTATTTCGAGTGGCGCACATTTCACTTTCCTGAGGATGTTAACATCTCATACGTGATCAAAATGATGCCAACATAAATAAACGTAAATCTACAGAAGTGTCCCTACGGGAAAAAAATAAATAACTACTTCAACTTACATTGTACCTTGATAAATTAGCTGCGCTTTAAAAGGTACGTCGATAGCTTTACTTGATGATTCAGCAGGTCTTACCCAAGCTTGTGATATGCTCTGCGGATTAAAAGCAAAAGGATTCAGTGAGAGGAGTTGGATTTTTCAGAAGAAGCTTCCATGCGGGAGTCCTGAAAGGAGGGCTTTGTTTGCAGAACAAGCATCAAGTAATCTGGTAATAAAAGAAGTCGAAGTTAATATGACGTAAATGCGACATGCCTAAAAACAGCCTAGTGGTAACATTTGTATCGATGATTGACTGAGTTCGGTTTAGCCAAGACGGAAAACAAACAAACAACCGATACATGGACCGAATGAAGAGAAAAGCAACTACGACATTGATTAAAAGCACAACTCAAGCTTACGTTTTTATTAGGAAGGGCTACAGGATTTTGCCTGAGGTCTCCCGATCAAGTTTTGTTTCCTTCGAATATAAATTCTTTATCGCACCCGATATACGCTGCACGAGCCTTAAGTATGCAAATATTCCAGCTGTACACAATAGCTTTCGAGTGCTGTTGACAAATACTAAACCTTTCCAGAAGTCAATTATAAAGACATCAAATCTCTTATCTAGAGTAGGCCTCGCAAATATTTGGTTCAAATATCCTAGCTACTTTGAATTGTATTAGATGATCAACCTTAGAAAAGACCACAAAATATTTTGATAGAATTAATTTCAGTGATTGAAATAATTTTGATCATTTCGTCGAAATTCTAAGACACCATCGAAGTTTATTCGCAGGTCTTAAAACTCCGTTCTATTTCATGCTCCTGACTGTTAGTTTTTAAGGTCTCGAGCTCAGCATCTGCAAAATCGATTAAAATGCTCAAATTTCCTCACTATTTCCATCTATTTCTCAGTCTTTAAATAAGTTGTCATTGATCGCTGTTAGAAACTTCAGCCTATCTTGAAAAGTTACGGTTGTTTTAGATAAGATCGACAGAGCATAACTTTGTCGGCGAGCGAATGCACAGCGTGTTTCGATGAGGGAAGTTAGAATATAATTTTTGGCCGAGTGTTATAATTGGATTCTGGCAATATCACATCAACTGAAAAGAAAAAGAATTTCAGTGCTCTGGTCGAAAGGATTAAGCTAATCGGTTCCACAGGAAAATTTGCGCCAAATCCAGCATCCTATGTTCGTGCTGGAATTTGATTAATGTATTTAAGCATATGTTTTGCATCAACTTGTGTCTAGAGCGAATTTTCGCCTAAAGTACGTAATGCCGAAGGCTTCAACAAAAACGGCCTCGGCAGTTAATATTTCCCGGCTGTTTCAGTTAAAATCGCATTGCCATATGACAAAACTTCAGAATGGAAAACTGACCTCAACATTTGTCAATATCTTCCTTTTGTTAAATTTCAAGGTAGAAAGTAATATAAATTGTAGACATTCATTTTTGGCCACAGGTTTTAGCGATGACAACACCCTTTCTCGTCGATATTAATGTTATTTAAATCTTTTTTCTTAGATAATGGCGTCGGTTTTCTAAATTGACATTGAGGTAACAAGAACGACATTTTTACCATTTAGTGAAGAAAAAAACCCACCAAAAGAAAAAAAAACAACAACCACAGGACAGAAAACTGATATTACATCGAGATAAACTGAGTTTAATCATTTCCCTCAATCTAAACCATGAATACTCGCCCGACAAGTTCCAAGTTTTTCTCACGTTCCAAGCTTTTTATGCAGAATTTTAAATGTTTTACACTTTAAAAATGTGTTAATGTAATGATGAAAGGATAGTGTTTCCATTAATTACGCAAATAAGTACTTCTGACTACAAAAAAACCTGCAAAGGCCATAACTAAATCTTAAAACATGATGGAAAGTTCCCCCCTTACGGTAGGACTTTTCAAATGTTCTGGAGAATAAATAAGCTTCTTATGAAATCACTGTTAAAAATGTGAAGAATCTTGAACAAAAGTTCCAGATTTGCGCGGAGGTTTGATTCCAAACGCTGGGTTCTTAAATTAAAAAACCATAAAACAATTTTGAAATGAATCCTACCCTCATACAATGAGATTTAAATACTAAAGAGAATGGATAAAAATGACCAAATAAACCACGAAAATACACTAAAAATAACTTAAAAATTAGTTTCTTTGCCGCTAAAGACTTACTATCACCCTCGATCAATTCAGGATTTCCTTCCGGGTTCTTACTTTAAAGCTAGAGATTTACAGTACTTGAGTGCCTTTTACCAAATGGCATAAAATGCGTGAAATATAAAAATTACTGTTATTCCGCACACTCTGATTTGTCATACAACTTTCGTTTAAAATTTTTCAAGCGCTAACGTCCTTTGCATTGCTTTATCAGTACACTGATCCATCTGGAAAATTCGGAAAACACTCGAAAACTTTTCGCGATCATGTCAATTTCCCTGTTGCGATTACTAAACAACACAATTGGCAGCCTATTTCTAATGTTGCACAGACTAAACACACAAACTTTATCTTTTCTAAAGTAAACCCGTACGCTTTAAAAAACCAGGCAATCCGCTCTTACACAGCTACTACAGCTACAAATACCAGTTCGCTCGTTTCTTATGCTCAAAAGGAGGAAGGCGTCTGCGAAGTTTTATGCAACATATCTAACAAGGATTTTTTTTGAACAGAAAAAATTCAGTACATACCACGTCAATTTTGAATTATTTCCGGCCCACTGATGGGTGAAGAATTTTAAAGATCAGCCAACAACTTTTTTAAACGCCTACTTCAATATGTCTCCATAATTTCTCTACTACTTTCTGAGGCTCTTAAGCCACTACTATTCGGGGAGGAGCGAACTTAACATAATCAGAAAAGAGGACTTTAAGTTTTCCTTAGCTTGTAAACAAAACTACGGAAAACCACAAAAACAGCCGACCGCAGCTTAAAGTCTTAGTAAGATTTGACAAACCGATTAGTATAGAGATCAAACTTATAATTGCCCAAGTTCAGTAAAAGAAAGGAAGTTAAAGCAATTTGAGGCTATTGCGAAATAACGAGAGTGTAAAAAAAATAAATCACCTGCAATCACAATCGAGAAAAAGAAATTTGCGTAAGCTTAAGATAAGATATTCAAATTTCTTAATCGAGGGGGTAAATATTTCGTTAAAATACTCTAGTAAACAACGTGAAAGGGATTAGTAATTTTTTCTTTAAATTTGGGCTAGACAGTTTGGAATGTGAGAAAAAAGATGACAATTCCTAATAAATGAAAAAAAAACTTATAAGTTGGAGGATTAATGGTGGTTTGAATTCAAATCTTCTAGCTATATTAAAGATTTACATCTTCTTAACAGCATGTTTTTGTTTCGTAACGATATTCGATATTTTGATGACTGATCAATACATGGAAGTAATACTGAGAATCTTATGATTCTGTTTATTGAGCACGCTGATCAATTTTGGAACAGGAACTAAAAAACACTTGGTTAATCAAATGTGGTAATAGGATTTTACACAAAGCTTCATTACACCGAATAAAAGCAAGAAATACTCGATAATGAAAAATACGACTTATGAGATTCAAGTAATTCAAATAGAGTTCAGTGCAAAGAACCCATTTTCGTCGAAAGTGATTTTCATGAAATATGGATGAGGTATGTATTGTTTTGCCTCAAAAGGCTCACCTTACAGTCAATATGGTTACACAATTTTAAATTCCCTTGCTATAGAAATTATGATTGACTAGATAAAAAAGAAAAAAATATTTCCTTTAAGTCTTAAAGTCGAGCTAATGGCATTTCTTGATACTAAGACTTGTAGATCTAGACAAAGAGCCTTTTTTTACTCAATTTTCGATCTCTTAAAAGCATTTCAGTGTTGCAATCTAAAATGATCCCGTCGATAATCCGAAAATTTACCAAATTGAGTATTTTCACATCTTTTGAATCAGTTCGCGGCCTTAGACAATAGCACGACTTAACAATGATTTTCACCTGTGGCTCTGAACTAATAGCGCAAGCGTTTCCATCACACTTCACCGGATTTGTTTTCATTGCAATCAGCTTGTTACCGTGTCTTCAATTTGAAGGGGTGTGAAATTTATCAACATTTAAACCATGATAAAACGAGGACCGTAAGTTTTATAAAGTAACAAATAATAGTTTTATTAAAAAATAACTGTGCCGCCAATGAAAAACATTCTCTTCTGACCTGAACGCTGCATCAATTTGCGACTAATACAAAGACCTAGATTACTTTTTGTTTACAACAAAATCCACATTAATTATACATAGGAAAGGGCTTATTCAATGTGTCTGTATACAAAATAATTTTTTCTCTTCCTTCATAAACATTTTCGGTCAAATTATGAAAGAAATACAATTTTTCAATATTTTATTACATTTAACCTTCAACGGTTGAGACTATTACGACTTCAAACACTCGTTGACATCCCAGAAAATTTCAGGAAATTCTATCTCAATATTTTCCTCTATAATTATAACTCACCGAGGAAAATCAAGCTATTTTTGAAAGATATAAGTGCGGTATTTTTGTGAAAACCGCGACAATTGTATCTTAAAGGTACGAATAACTGACAGATAAACTTTCTAGTGTTCTGTACGCCTTTCTGTCCATTGGTATTGATACGAAAGCTCAAGAGAAATCAAGTCGTCAAGAAATAATAATTCTAATCATTAACAAGATGTTAAAGGAGGTGAAAATTAGCTCGGCGATTCCATTGGAAACGTAAGGTCGCTTTAAGTCAAACATCACAAAAACAATTTAAGGGGATTCTGCTCTCGTGCAGTAAGACTTCAAACTACGTGAGAATGTCATGTACTTATTGTGGGTCGTGCTGGTTTTGACTTGAGATTCTCACCACGCTCTGGCGGGGAGGAACGATTCAAAGTTGAACATTAAAGGCATTAAGTAATAATTATGCGTTATGCCGCCTTCGAAACGGCAAAAAGTGTTCAATTAAACTTCAAAAAAGTTTCCACTGTGTGCGAAAGCTGGTTCCTGTTTAAACGAGCCTCTAGGGCTCGGCTCGCGCTCTTTTTAGACAATTTAACTTGATTTCGTTAGGCTTTCTGTGCCGTTTGAAATAAGGAACGATATTTTACAGCGAAAAATAGCAGCATTCGTTGTGGGAATATTTCACCCCGAAAATTATTATAACACTCACCAAATTTCTTCAGTCTGTATTGAAGTTGATTTCCCTAAAAATTCAGTCTAAGCGGTCGCATTTAAGCCATGCAGTACTATAATTTTAGATTTGACACAGTCGGAACATTAGGCCGACTGATGGGGGAAGCTCTGAACTAAATGCACCAGGCACCTAAAGCTGGCGGGATTTTCTGCTGTTACTGTATTGGTCGGTGCGAAGCTCGCTGCGGGAATGTATGAAAAAACCGTAAACATTACGCTCTTATTTGCATATGCACTCACTGTAAATAATATACCTAATAAAATCGTCACTACGTTCATGAAGAAATTACTTACGAGTTTCAAACTTTTGAATAGAGAGTTCCAGCAACGTTATTGAATATTATTCATTGCTTTAGACTCTCAGGGGATCGAAAACAGGCTAGGATGCCGCTGAAAAGAAACAAAGTCACCTGCAAATTCTTCACATTTTAAAGCGACATAACAGTGCAAGGACATATCTCCCAGGAAGTAAATACGAGTAATTATGATACTATATTCTTTTGATTATCGTCTCGACTTGCCTTTAAGGAAAATTCGCTAGAAGGTTAGTTTTCACTTTATTAGCCAGATGGCTCATTTATAAACGAATGACTCTACCGGGAAATTGCCATCAAGATTGATTTTTTTTGTTCATGAGCCAAAAAGAGACCCTCGTTTTTTTCAACCAGTAATCAAATAAATAATTTCGAAGTTTAATGGAAAAAATCCAATGGAAACTTTTGTTCATAAAGAGACTGTATTTTAATAGAAATCTAAGTCCGTGGCACAGTAATTTTTTTGCAAAGTGCAGTAAATATTAAACGACAAAAATAGCCTACGTGTCAGTCATTTCTGTCTAAGTAATGAAACAAATTAGATGTGACTTATATTTCCTTACTTCATGGACTAATAAAATCTCTAAATTAATATACATTAAACTGATTTCCTGTCTATTTCGAGATTTTCTGAGAGCACGTTTTCATTGCATCTCTGTGAAAGCGCCGAGGGCAGATTCTGCGTAACTAATCGATTTGCGCGTAATTGAAATCGAAGCAAATTAAACGAGAAACTCCAATGAGCGAGAAATAATAATAGCAAATATGTTACAAAATAAAGCATTTTGATAGTGATAATTCTTCCTTTCCAAAGGGATTTATGAGTTGGGAACTAGACAATTTAAACGGAAAAACCAATAAAAAAAGGGGCGAATCACACTGCCATGATTGGGCGGAGGGATTTTCATTTCCATGTTAATCATGTATGTTTTTAATTCCCCTGCTGTTTTGAAATTTTCTTTCACTGTGTTGAGAACAACAACAAGACATCATGAAAAAAGAGATGCTAGCAGTTTCGAGCTCTTGACCAATTAGAAGCGCATTGTGGAAAGTATTGCGAAATGGTAAATATCAATTTATGAAAGTATAATTATGATCACCGATCATTGCCTCTCCTTTCAAGACTCAGCGCACAACATGCCCTATGCGTTTCGAGCTTCAAGTGGGACAAATTTGGAATCTATAAACCTTTTCTAGGAATATTTATCTTAGAAGGAGGTAAAGTAAATTGGAACGGCCTTGAGGGTTTTCGAAAAGTTTCCTATTTACTTTACTTTAAGGCCTGATGGCATTATTCAAAATTACAATGGCTAAGCTATAATTGTGGTGATCTTTATATGCAAAGTGAATATTACTTACTAAGAAATCCACTTGAATCAAAATTTATTCAAAATGAGTTGCTTTTTACAGCCTTGGGGGTCATAATGGTCGACTGACTAAAGTAAAATATGAAGCAATCATTTAACCCCTTGTGTGGTACTCTAGATTAGATGCATCACTCGCGAGTACTTACAGGAAAAGATCTCTGGCTTATTTGCTCTTGTATAGTAAGCTAATCGCCCATTACCTTCTGCATGATTCTACACCTTTTGAAGAATGAGGGGAATACCGCTTTATGCTTACCGTTTGGGTTCCGTCCTTTTGCAGCTGAGGAAAGTGTTTGCAAAACTATGTTCGAAAATTTTTTGTCTCTTGAACTAGTCGTTTCAGTGTAGATCCTAGTAGGGTGCTAATTAAAATCGTTGGTCCTCGGCAGCAAGTTTAGCCGAGCTTTGAAAGTACAATAGAGTAAGCTGTCTTAATTAAACAATTCGGTATCTTTACCATTCAAAATAGTTTCATTTCGAAAGACATTTGACACTTTTCTCTTTGAAGCAAGCCGCTCAAACTGTAATTGATTCCCTAATTCACCTCCTAAATTGTGAAATTTATTTGGTGATGTAAATGAATATGTTTCCTAAATCATTCCTATATGCAGAGTACAAAGCAAAGCTAAAAGAAAAATTAAGTCATCATCTGCAAATTTATAGTTACTTTTACAAAACTAAGATTTACTCAAACCGTATTAGAACGTTCTAAATTTACTATCTATGCATTTGTTAAAAATTCAAATTCTATGTTTATTTATGTTGGTTTTGTTGGTTTCTGCTCTAATCTGCCCTTCTGTTCAGTAACAATTCCTGCATTTTGTGGTAAACTAATTTGCACAATTAAATTCATACTTTTATTTTCTCCTTTTCCTTTAATTTTTCAACTTTTTGTGTTCACAATTTCAATAATTACTTCTTAAGAAAGGGAGTTGATATAGAGAAGTCACGTATTCCTTATCGGTGTCCAATATTTGTGCGATAATTTCCTATCTGAAAATGAAGTCGCATCGTGACGTGTGATATTTTGTCTGTAGTTTAAAGGGAAAATGATTTTTATGACCTATCTTTTTACGAATTTTACCCAGCAATGACTATGAGTCGTCAATGAGCTGTTGACAGAAATATCGGGTTGGTCTGAAATACAACGAAGTGAAAATCAGGAGTTTATTTTTATTACTGACAGTCATTGGTATCTCCATGAAAGTTTCTTTTTGTGATAACGGTGGCCAATGTTTAGCTAAAGCGTAAATTTTATTAAAATCTGCCAGACACCAAAATAGATTGGTACACCTCATAAAAATTCAAAACTATATAATATGATAAAAATGAAATAAGCATCTTTTTTAAACCCTAAGTGAAGCTGGTAATAAAGGTATTTGCGCAAAGTATTTTGCAATTCACGACTCGTTTAAATATACTAGTTCGAGTCGGAAACAGTTTGGGAAAATATAGAGGTTTAAGGAAATGAAACACTACAGGCAATCGCGAAATGTAAACTATTGACAAAATTAACTCGACCAACGACCTATTTGGTTTAAAATTAGTCACAATATTCTTTATTTGTATAATGAAATTGTTGAGATAAGAGAAAAATCGTAATACCTTGACGACAGAAATAGGAATTATTCACGCAAAGGTATAAGGAAAGTATGCGGGATTTTTGCGGTCTCTTTCGGTACACTTGAGTTTTGTAGTCGCTAAAGAGTCTGATTTAATAGACACAAGGTGAGGTACCTTTAAATTGGTTATTCAAAAACCGTGGTTTAAAGGTGTCAAAGCACACTAGAAGACTGAATCGAGGAAATGGTCCATCATTAGGCGTTTAATTAACGTGGTCAAACCAAATTTTTAACGACTGAAAATCAGGAATAGATTAAAAAATCAAATGTGAATTGAATGAAAAGTATCTATTTTCATGACTGCTAAATTTACTCTAAGACTTTTTTTTGTTCAAGAGGTTGATGATTTAATACACACTTAGTAAAGTACGTGCTAGAAATGCGTAGTACATTTCGAAGCTTTAAAATGTGGTAGCTATCCGATTATTTGGTTTGATTGTGGAATAAAAATGCGCTCCTCGCACTCCTTTTTGGAGTCATTTGACCTTAATGTATCTAGGGCTGAATTATTGAAGCATTGTAAATTTTCAAGGGAGGGTTGGAATCACTGAACAGCTTTTTTTTTCAGTCTTTTTATCATGGTAAACTATCTCGCCAAAAACACCCCATTCCCTTCCCCGGGTTTTTTAGATTGTACAACTGGACTTGAGTCAAGAATTTAGATATATGAAAATTCACATATTAGCACTGCGGTGGAGAGATGAAATTAGAAGATCCTCGCAGCTAAGAACACTACTGAAACTAGTAGTTGTAAATAGGACCTGAAAAAAATTCAGGCCCGTACGGGATTTGAACCCATGACGTCTGCGATACTGGTGCAGCGCTCTACCAATTGAGCTAACAAGCCAACTGGGAGCTAGTTAATGAATTGGGTATAAATAAACATCCAAGTGAATTGTGAATCATCCAAGTGAGTGAGTCATTAATTTGCATTTGACCAATTCCAATAATTATTTGTATGGTTACAGGGTTCAGTAATTTCTACTAAATTCTAGTAGACTTATCTATAAATTTTTTTTTTCTTATAAAAGAGATCGAGAAGTAATTTGCTTACCTAACTCTCCCAGCCGTTCGGGCCAAAATATTGAAATTTCCTTGCAAATCTTTCGTGTTGGAAATAAGAAAACAACTTACTGCATAACAAGCAAGGGTAATTTGGCCTTTACGGTCCACGTTTTGCAATGAATTTTTACATCAACCGCTATAGTCATATCTCGTCCTGCTGTTTTTCTTTGTTTTTGTTTTTCGTTTTTACTTACTTGGGAGATTGCCTCTTTACCACTGGCAATTTAAGCAATCGAGTAAACGAATTTTATATGTAAAGACTGACTGTTTGAATATTCCACATAGGCAATGCATATACATTCAAAATTAGCCACTATTAAGAATGTGTCATTATAAGCGTTACAAATAAATAATTTCAATTGGAATCCATCGACAGATCGTTCGCACCCTAAAGGTTCTTGATCACAACAACTTGAAGATGAAT